CACTACCACCACGAATCACCACCACCACCACCACCACAACCAGCACAACCCACCACCACAACAACCACCACCATCACCACAACTTCTACACCACCACCACCACCACCACCACCACCACACACCACCACCAAAAACCACCACCACCACCACCACAACCCACCACCACCACCACGACCACCATCACCACCATCAACCACCACACCACTATAACCACCATCACCACCACCACCGCCACCGCCACCACCACCACCACAACCCACCACCACCACCACCGCCACCACCACAAACCACCACACCACCACCTCTCTGGTCATCGTTGCTGCGTCCCCGCCGTCGGCGCTGCTGGCCGCTGGCCGCCGCCAGCGTTGGGCGCCAGAGAGAGGTTTGAACCCCACCCCCACCCCCTCGGCCACTGGAGAAGGGGAAGGGGGGGAGTTCGAAACCCCCCCCTCCAATCCAGGGGAGGCGGGGAGGGCCCAGTTCCAAACCCCCCCGCCCCCTCCAAGCGCCCACTGAACGCGCTCTTTCCGAGGTCTCATTTGAATCTGGGTAAGACGTCACTCCGCTGGACCCTGGGTAAGACGTCACTCCGCTGGACCCCCCAGCACCCTTCGAAAGTCGCGACGGTTTCGCAGATCGCAGCCCCCCAAGGATGGCGAGGTCTCATTTGAATCTGACATCACTCCACTAAACCCCCCAGCAGCCCTCGGAAGTGGCGACGGTTTCGCAGATCGCAGCCCCCCAGGGATGGCGAGGTCTCATGTGAACCGGGGTAAGACGTCACTCCGCTGGACTTCCCAGCAGCCCTCGAAAGTGGCGACAGTTTCGCAGATCGCAGCCCCCCAGAGATGGCGAGGTCTCATGTGAACCGGGGTAAGACGTCACTCCGCTGGACCCCCCAGCAGCCCTCGAAAGTGGCGACAGTTTCGCAGATCGCAGCCCCCTCAGGGATGGCGAGGTCTCATGTGAGTCGGGGTAAGACGTCACTCCGCTGGACCCCCCCAGCAGCCCTCGGAAGTGGCAACAGTTTCGCAGATCGCAGCCCCGCAGGGATGACCAGGCAAGAGGCAAGCTGGCACGCAGGAAGGAGCGAGGAAAAAGGAGGCCAGGATTTGGGCGTTCTCACCTTTTCTGATTTCCGACGCCACAAGACGGCCGAAGAGGCCCCCAAGACCACCCCAAAACGGCCTGAGAGGCCTCCAAGAGGGCCCCAAGACGGCCTAAGGGCACCCCAAGACAACCCAAAAGGCACCCAAGACGGCCCATGAGGAGCCCAAAACGGCCCCAAAAGGGGCCCAAGAGAGGGAACATGCACCAAACATCAGAGCCTTCCGCCCCAAGAGGACCTCAGGAGCCCCCAAAGGCGCCCAAGAGGCCCCAAGAGGCCCCCAAGACCAAACGAGGCCCCAAGAGGCCCCAAAACGGCCCCCAAGAGGCCTCAAAGATGCCTCCAAGAGGCCCCCGAGAGGCCTTCCACGAGATCCCAATGAAGATTCAATAGGTTTCATACCCACAACCCAGGCACGGTGGCGGGACTTCCGGTAGGCAGCTGTATATCGACAATTCAGCAAAGGCATTTATGTTTGACTCCTGGGCCTTCTCAGGCAGATCCCTATTTCCGTTTGACGGCTGCCCCCCTTCTGCGTGCTCCCGCACTTCCAGGATCAATGCAACTCGCCTGGGTATCGGCTGGTGGGGAAACGCGAAGCTTCAAACACTCGGGCAAACGTCCACGAGCTTCAATTGAGCAGCCACCGAAGTCATTGTCAAAGTGAAAGAACGAAAACTCAGAACTGATCATCATGATACGCAGACAGACGGACGGACGGACGGACAGACAGGCAGACAAGGAGAGAGAGGGAGAGAGGGTGACAGACAAGGAGGGAGAGAGGAGAGAGGGCGAGAGGGCGAGGGAGCCAGAGCTGGGTGGTGCGTAGGAACGGAAGAAGAGAGGCGGAGAGGTGGACGGGCAGGAGTGGGGGGAGAAGGCCACGACGGGGGACGACAGACAGGAGGAGCGGAGATAAGATAAGACCAGTCGCGAAGCGAGGTCAAAATCCGCCGATCCGGCGTGTGAGTTCCAGGGGGAAGGGGTGACCGAGGTGGCTCTGCCCGGGTAAGGGGAGAGGACGGGCGGGGGTCCGGTGGCGTGGGTTCCCGTGGCGTGGGGGGGGGGTCTCGGGTCCCCCGTCCCACTTGTGGACAAGGCGAATTGGGGAAAGAGGGAGGGGGGGGGTCCGGTGGCCGGGGTGGCTCTGCCGGGGCAGGGGGAGGGACGGGGGGGGGGTCCGGTGGCGTGGGTTCTGGTGGCGTTGGGGTTGGGGCTGGTCCCCCGCCCCGCCTCTGGACTGGGAAAATTGAGGGAAGAGGGGTGGGGGGGTCCGGTGGCGTGGGTTCCGATGGCGCGGGGGATTGGGAGGGGGGGGGTTGTGGCGTGCTAGTTTGAAAGAGCCTCAGCTACAGCCCTGAGGCTGAGTTTCAGCCTCTGTGGGGGTTGCTGGGGTGGCTCTGCCGGGGACGGAAGGGAGGGGGGGCGTGCGCGTGCGCGGGGTAATGTTTGTTCGTGTACGCGAGAAGGGAGTCGGGGAAGGAGGGAGAAAGAAGTGGAACGGGACAAGAGCGGAAAACGGGGAACAAATGAGGGAAGACGAAGGTGGCGGTGAAATGTGCGTTTGTTGTGTGGTGTGTGCGCGGGTGTTTGCGTGGTGTGTGTGTGTGTATGTGTGTGTGTTGCCGGCGTGTGCTTGTGTATGTGCCTGCGAAGGTGGCGCGCGTGTGCGACTGTGGTGTGTAGTGTGTGTGTGTGCATGTGTGTGAATGTGCGTGTGTGAATGCGTGTGTGTGTGAGAGAGAATGTGTGTGAATGTGTGTGTGAGTGTGAGTGCGAGTGTGAGTGTGAGTGTGAATGAGTGTGTGAGTGCGGGTGTGAGTGTGAGTGTGAGTGTGAGTGCGAGTGTGAGTTTGAGTCTGAGTGTGAGTGTGAGTGTGAGTGCGAGTGCGAGAGCGAGCGTGTGAGTGTGAGTGCGTGTGTGTGTTTGTGTTTGAGTGTGCGTGTGTGCGTGCGTGCGTGTGTGCGTGTGTGCGTGCGTGCGCGCGTGCGTGTGTGCGCGTGTGCGCGTGCGTGCGCGGGTGCGCGCGTGTGTGCGTGTGTGCGTGTGTGTGTGTGCGTGTGTGTGTGAGTGTGTGTGCGTGCGTGTGCGTGTGTGCATGTGAGCGCGTGTGTGCGTGCGTGTGCGTGCGTGTGTGTGTGTGTGTGTCTGTGTTTGCGTGTGTGTGCGTGTGTGTGCATGTGTGCGCGTGTGTGCGTGTGTGTGTGTGTGCGTGCGTGTCTGTTGCTGTGATTGCATGCGTGTGCGCGTGGTGCGCGTGTGCGCGTGTGCGCGTGTGCGCGTGTGCGTGCGTGCGTGCGTGCGTGTGTGTGTGTGTGCGTGGGTGCGCGTGTGTGTGTGTGTGCGTGTGTGCGTGTGTGTGTGCGTGCGTGCGTGCGTGCGCATGTGTGTGTGTCTGCGCGCGCGTGCGTGTGTGCGTGTGTGCGTGTGTGCGCGTGTGCGTGTGTGCGTGCGTGTGTGCATGTGTGCGTATGTGTGTGTGTTGTGTGTGTGCGTGTGTGCGTGTGTGCCTTGTGTGTGCGCGCGTGTGCGTGCGTGCGTGCGTGCGTGCGTGCGTGTGCGCGTGCGCGTCGTGCGTGCGTGCGTGCGTGCGTGCGTGCGTGCGTGCGCGCGCGCGTGCGTGCGTGTGCGTGTGTGTGAGTGCGCGCGTGTGTGTGTGCGCGCGCGTAATGTCTGCGAGCGTGTGCGTGCGTCTGTCGGCGAAATGTAGCCGCCCAGTCTGGGGGGCACCCCAAGCGACCCGGATCGGCGGCACTGGCCGAAGGCCACCAAAGCCGAGGACCTGGCCGCCTTCTCAGCCTTGCAGAGCACTCTGGGCATGAGGCCTCCGGAAATCCGATCGAGATGATCCCGACGCGCCATGGTTACAAGTATCGTACAGAGCGGGTTGAACACTCCTGGGCCAAAGGGGGGGCCCCGGGCATCCGTGGGGAAACGATTTCTGTGCAGCACCCCCACGAGCAAGCCGGTCCGGCAAAAGAACGAGGAGCGGGGGCTGCGTACGAAAACGGCACCCTCTGGGAGCACAGCTCTTGCACACCACCCCCGCAGGCAAGCGGGTGCGGCACAGAGCACGCGCGCGGGGGCGGTGGCCACAGATCGACCTCCGGTCGGGGAGACGTAAGACTCGCGTGCAAGGAACTCGGGTTGGCCTGACGAGACCATCATGAAAATGACGAGGCCCCGTCTGAAATTTGACGCGACAGCCCGCTGCAAACATCCCGGGAAAACTGGACCGTCAAGGTCCAGGGCGGGCCCGTCAGAAAGCGTCGGCAACCTCGAGATCCGGCTCACTCGAGTCCTACGTTTCCCCGACCCGGCCCCGTCCTCCGCGCCCGCATGGTTGACGAACGTGTGTATGGAAACTGAACTGGGGCTGCCAGTCCTCGAAAACCAAGTGGGTTAGCCAGCAAGGCCGGCCCAGCGATGAACATCAGCAGGGCCACATGAGATCCCATTGGCGCCACAGTCGGCCAAATGATCAGCTCGTTCGTTCAAATATTGCCCAGTGTGGCTCTCCACTTTTCCGAACACAATATGAGAAGCAACCTGATCAAAGACATGACCATTTAAAATAGAATTTGTTTGAGGCATTAGCGAGCGCCATGTAAAATTTAATATATATATATATATATATAATTAAAATAAAAATAATAATAGTTACTATTTTTATATGTTTATATATATACCCAAAAAATAATTATATATATATCGTGCAATTGTGCGTTGGAGCCCCTATCATTGTGCTTGTTCAGCTCAAGATCTACATAATGAGTTTTTCCAACGAGAGTAACGATACCGCCGCCATTTCGGTACTTTGGGTGGGAAATAGAGGGAGAGGGCGGGGAAGAGGGTGAGTGGAACACAAAGAAAACAAGTCGAAGGTTCGTCCTGGTTGACGAACGTGTTGCCCAGGGCCTCGAAGCGGGGCTGCACGAAGAGCGACATCGCCGGAGGCGGTGCCGCGCGGGCCCCCACTGGCAGGCCCCCTGCAGGCCGGCGGGCCGAGCGGGGCCCCCCTGCAGGCCTGGCGGGCCGCGGGCAGCTCGGGCCACGGGAGGGCGACCTGAAGCAGGAGGAGGAGGAGGAAGGAGGCGGAGGAGGAGGAGGAGGAAGGAGGAGACCTGAAGCAGAAGGAGGAGGAGGAGGAGGAGGAGGAAGGAGGCGGAGGAGGAGGAGGAGCAGCAGCAGCAGCAGCGGGAGGAGGAGGGAGACAGGGAGGGAGTGAAGAGGGAGGCTCTCTGCCGGCCGAACGCGGGCATTGCGAACGCGTGCCCCTGTGCCCCTGAGTGGCCGGCAGTACTGCCAAGTGGGGCAATACTGAGACCCGCCATCGCTCGGACGTCCATTTCCCGTGCATTTTTCGGTTTCGTGCGTGTTTGTTTTTTTGCTCGTTGGCCCAGGATGGTCCTCGATGGTTCTCGCCGAGAAAAAATGCACACGTCCAAGCGATGCCAGGGAGAGCGAAGCTTCTGAAAGGCTCCCGGAAGAGCAACGGGAGAAAGAGCCTGGCGAGGGGGTGCGGCGCTGGCCTCACCAGCCCGCCCAAGTACCCCTGAGTGAAGGGGACCCAGGACACACAAATAAATACACACAAATAAACATTTTCCCAATATTTTCCTGTATTTTCTGGGTTTCTGTCTTCCCCCCCCCCCCCACACTTCCCAGATTTTCCCATATTTTCCTGGGAATCGACGATTAATTGTGTCTGTGTGTGTGTTTTCCCCTCCTGAGAAGCGATGCTGGGCCAGAAGAAAAGAAAGGAGGACGGAGGAGGGAGGAGAGGCCGTGCGCGACTGGGCTGCGGGCTGCGATAGACTGTCTGTTTGCTCGCGACCGCGCTGAGCTTCACGCTGCGGAGCTTGTCGCGCCAGAGGCGCAAAGGGAGGAGGGAGGAGGGCCGAGAGAGAGGAGAGAGGACAAGCTAGGCGCGTTCGCGCCATGTCTGACGTCTGACCCTTCCCGCATATCCTTCACCATTGCGCTGAATCCGCTGCTATCCGCCAACTTGGGTGTTCTAGAGAACCTTGATCCCAAAAATGCCCCCATCGTGCAATGCGCAATCTGCAAAGGGCGCTTTGTAGATTGGAGGAGAACGAGGAAGGAGGAGGAAGGAGGAGCAGCAGCAGCAGATGGAGCAGGAGCGCAGGAGGAGAGGCAGGATCAGCAGAAGGCGGAGGAGGGGAAAGGAGGGGGGCGGCAAGGACAAGGAGCGAATCGGATCCACAAAATATGGCCCGCGCTGGGGCGAGAGGGCCAGATTGAACGACGGGTGCAGAGCACCGATCCTGAAATGCGGCCAACGCTTAATCGAAAACAAGCATGGTTGAAGGACGGAGAACGCTCAGACCAGGAAAAACAACTCAGGAAAGACCAGCTTGTGAAATCCTATGGGAAACACCACGCGGGAGAGACGGCGACAGCAATGGACACGATCAGGGGAGAGGGAGAGAGAGAGAGAGGAAAAAAAAAAAAAAACGTAGCACCCCGCAGATGCGGATAAGAGTGAGGGGGCGGTGGGGACGTCGGCAATTTGCGAGACTCTGGAGAAGCCCGCCGCAGGCGCCAAGGTTTCACAAATTACATAGAGCCCGCCGCAGGCAGGCGCCGACTGTTTCATTAAACCAATGTGGGTAGTTCGCGGGTGGGTCGCGGGTGGGTCGCCAATGAGTCGCGGGGTGGGTCGCGGGTGGGTCAGGAGTGGGTCGCTGTTGGGTCGCGGATGGGTCGCGGATAGGTCGCGGGTGGGTCGCGGGGTGGGTCGCGAATGGGTCGCAAGTGGGTCGCGGGTGGGTCGCGGGTGGGTCGCGGGTGGGTCGCGGGGTGGGTCGCGGGTGGGTCGCGGGGTGGGTCGCGGGTGGGTCGCGAATGGGTCGCAAGTGAGTCGCGGGTTGGGTCGCGGGTGGGTCGCGGGTGGGTCGCGGGTTGGGTCGCGGGGTGGGTCGCGGAGTGGGTCGCGGGGTGGGTTGCAGGGTGGGTCGCAGGGTGGGTCGCGAGGTGGGTCGCGGGGTGGGTCGCGGTTGGGTCGCGGGTGGGACGACGACAACAAACAAACAAACAACAACGGCGCAACAAGCCGAATCCTCACCACGGATCCCCACTTCAGCCACGCACCCAGGGACAATGAATGACCGTTCGGCCCCCTCACTCTGATAATCCATGCTGAGTTCATTGTTTGGAGAGGGAAGGGGGTAGGGAGAAGAAGGGCAGGGGCAAGGAACTGTCCAGCCCTCCCGCGTCTACCCCTCGCGCTGGTCCCATCTTCTGCGCGCAGGCCCGAAACCTCACCGATCTCGACCGGAGGTGCGCGGCGGTGGGGCGAGAGCGCCTCGCTGCACTGAGCCCTGCATCCCCCAAGCCGACTGGCAAGAAATAGGGGTCAGCAGCAGGAGCGCGCAAGATGCACCGCCCTCGTCCTCCATCCCGCCCCCTGCTGAATAACTCCTCCCTGTCGCACGTCGCGACCCCAGACGTGTCGGTAGGGCAGGCAAGGCGGTTTCTCCCGAGAACCCTCACCCTGCATGATCCTGAAACTTTGAGGTTCGCAACCATTACGAGGATAGAGGGGGGTCGTTTTCAAAATGGAGCTCTCGCCCTAGCGACGCGCGCCGCGCACATTCGTCTTCAAACATACAGCAGCTTCAAGGACGACAATGGGTGTTTTTATAGATGGGGCCCTCGCCTTAGCGACGCACGCGATCGCTAACTTAAGTAACCGCGTCAAGGAGAAGGGAGGGGCTCTCGCCTCTAGCGCCGCGTAGATTTGTTTTGAATGTTTGCGACAGCTTCAAGCGTGGAGGGTGGTTCCTTTTCAACATTGGGTTCTCGCTGTCGCGCCGCGCACATTCGTCATAAAATCTGGCAGCAGTTACGAGGATGGATCACAGCTCCTTTTCCATGTGGGGTTTTCGCTTGAGTTTGGGAATTCAAGTACCCGACACTTGTACATGTGTAACGACTGCACAGATGGAGGGCGGCTGCTTGCCGAAATGGGGCTGTCGCTGTAGACTTTCCCGAAGGCCGTGCCCAGAAGTGACGAGGTGTGCAGGAGTCACACGGAAGGGGACGGTCCTGCTTCAGGGCGGGGATCTCCCTGGACACCTCGCTCGACTGCATGATCGTGACTTTTGGCATTCCTCACGAGTCGCTGAAAAGGTGCAGGGCAGTTCCATGTCAGAACGATGCCGTCGCCTGCACGGCAGGCCCATCGGGCGCTGGCCTTTCGAGGGGGCGCCTCCAGCGGTGAGAAGGAAATCTTGCCGGGACTCGTGAGGAGGGGAGGGGAGGGGCGCATTGCAGCGCTGTTGGTGCACCTTGGGCCGACTCTGCCCCTGCTCCTCCTCCAGGGCCTCCGCCTGGGGCGCGGAGATGGGGCCGGGGGACGAGGACGAGGGCGGGAGGGGGAAGGGAGAGGGGAGGGGAGGGCCCTTGAGCACGCAGGAGGCACCTGAGTTACTAAAACCCATGGGAGTCGAATGTCCTCCTCCTCCTCCTCCTTTTCCTCCTCCTCCTCCTCCTCGTCCTCCTCCTCCTCCTCCTCCTCCTCCTCCTCCTCCTCCTCCTCCCCCTCCCCCTCCCCCTCCTCCTCCTCCTCCTCCTCCTCCTCCTCCTCCTCCTGCTGTGGCTGCCGGGTCGTGCTGCTGTCGTGTCCCGCCGTATCCTTTGTCCGTCCGTCGTGTCGCCTTTTTCTCCTTCCTTCTCCTTTCTCCTCCCCCCCCGGTCGCCCTACGTGGAGGGCGGGGTGCGCGCGCTGCGCGTTGCCTGTCTGGGCTCTGCCCCCCCCCCCTCTCGGTCCTTCCCCTCCTTTCTTTCCCGGTCGTTCCTCGTGCTGGTGCTCTCCCTCTCTTTCCCTTCCCCTCGTTTTTCCCGTTTTGACAGCTTGCAGCAGTGTCACGGATGGACGGCGGCTCGTTTTCAACACGTGGCCCTCGCTCTGGCGCCCCGCGCACTCGCCCAAAAAATGTGCAACAGTTCTAAGGATGGACGGCGATTCCTTTTCAAAATGTGGGTCTCGCGTTAGCGCCGCGCACATTCGTCTTGAAAATTTACAGCAGTGACAAGGATTCGTGCTCTGGCGTTCTGGTACGATTTAGAATCTGTGTGGGCGCAACGGTCATGTGGATGCGCTGTGCTGAAATCCCAGGAATGGTCCTTTGGACGATTGAGGCTTGTCAGGACGCAACAGTCAGGTTGATTCACGGCGCTGGAGTCCCAGGAATTGCGTTTTGGCATGTTTGGGGATCTCAAACAGTTCCCTTCCAATGGGACACTTCCCGCAACGTTTGACTTGGAGCCAGGGCTTGTCCAACATCGTTGATTCGTTTTGGTGTTCGACTGGATCTTCCTCCTCCTCCTCCTCCTCCTCCTCCTCCCTCCTCCTCGTCCTCCTCCTCCGCATCCTCCTCGTCCTCGCCCTCCTCCTCCTCCTCGTCCTCCTCATCCTCATCCTCCCTCCTGCCCCTCCTCATCGTCCTCCCACCGATAATTGTACTAAGACGACCTCAGGGCCACGGAGCCAATCTGCAACACCCGCTTGCCGCACACTCGCGGTCGCTCTTTGCGACCCCGTCACCTCCTCCATGTCGGCGTTCCCATTCTTTATCTCGTCCTTCAGGTTCTGCGCCAGCACCTGGTCCGGGAGCACAGGGCAGTACCCCCTCCCGTTGTGCCTTCTCTCGACTTGGCTGCCGCCGCAGGTAACTTGCCTCGAGCTCACCCCATATCCATAAGATACGAGAACGGTACATATGCACCCCGTACCACGTTTGGACTTCGTTTGGACCTTTAGACCCCGCTCCAGCGCGGAACGGTGCATCGTTTGTCGGCTCGGAGGGCCCGAAAAACTGTGCACCGTACAATGCCTGGGTCGACGACCGACGACGCCTCGTGAGACGCCAACGCAATACGGTGCACACGAGTCTTCCGCGAATCAGATTGGCAGACCAACGGTGATGACAATCTTAGGGATGTGCCCTCAGAAAAAGTGGAC